CAGGAGGAAGAAAGTATGGAGAGGTGCTATGCACGTTTAAACAACAAGATCTCATGATATCCCACTCACTATCAGAAGAACAGCAACAAGCAAATGGTGCTAACCCATTCATGAGAAGTCAGCCCCACCATTCAATTACCTCCCACTAGGCCCCACCTCCCATACTGGGGATTACAATTTGATATGAGATCACAGATCCAAACCATGTCAGGTCTGAATAGACTTTTTTTTTTAAAAGCCAATAAGTATATGGAAAGGTAATCAACATGATCAGCCATCAGGGACATGCAAAGCAAAACCACAAAGACATGACCTTACACCCATGAGGTGAGCTAAAATCGAAAAGATAGGTGTTGGTGAAGATGTGAAGAAACCGGAACCCTCACACACTGCGGCAAGTGGGGGGTGTCAGGGAATGTAAAACGGATGCAACTTCTTGAAAAACAGCCTGGAGGCTTCCCAACAGGTTATAGAGTTACAGTGTGACTCAACAGTTCCATTCCTAGGTATATATATGCAAGAGATGAAAACATATATCCACACAAAAGTATGCACACAAGTTCCTGTAAAAGCATTATTCATAACAGCCAAACAGTAAAAACAACCCAAATACGCACCAAATAAATTGTCTATAGTCTGCCAGGTGTGGTGGCTCACGCTTATAATCCCAGAACTTTGAAAGGCCAAGGCAGGCAGATCACTTGAAGTCAAGAGTTCGAGACCAGCCTGGTCAACATGGCGAAACCCTGTATCTACTAAAAATCCAAAAAAATATCTGAGCATGATGGCACAAGCCTGTAATCCCAGCTACTCAGGAGACTAAGGCAGGAGAAGCACTTGAACCCAGGAGGCGGATGTTGCAGTGAACTGAGACTGTGCCACTGCACTACAGCCTGGGTAACAGAGTGAGATTCTGTCTCAAAAAAAAAAAAAAAAAAAGATTTCTATAGTCATACAATGGAATGATATTTGGCAATACAAAGGAATGAAGTACCAATACATGCTATAACATGGAGGAACCTTGAAAACATTATGCCAAGTGAAAGCAGCAGTCACAAAGAACCACATATTGCATGATTCTGCTTCTATGAAATGAAATGTCCAGAATAGGCACGTCTATAGAGACAGAATGTAGATTTGTGGTTGCCTAGGGCAGGTGTGAGGCTGGGGGTGGGGGTAGACGATTACAGCTAAGAGGTACAAGAGGTCTTTATGGGGTGATAGATATGTTCTTAAATTGCTTGTGATGATGGTTGCACAACTCTAGATAAACTAAAAGCCACTGAATTTTACACTTTAAACAGGTGACTTATATAGCCCGTAAGTTATATATCAATACATCTGTTAAAAAATAAAATAAACCAAGTTCTTCTTTGTACACCTGCTTGAGGCAAGGGCAGTTTCCAAGCCCCTACATTCCCAACAGTATGAATCACAGAAGGAAAACAAAAACAAAAACAGGACCTCTGGAGGCTGAAGGCAGGAGAGCTGTGCTGCACTGTGACCCTCGGTGCCCGGAGAGCTTCAGTGCTGACAGCAGCTCATTGGCAGTGGCCAGCATGGCCAGGCCCACTGAAGCTGAAGAATACACTGTAACAGGCTGACATCATGTCCCAAGGAGAGTAACGTGGCTCTACCAGCACCAGGTATAGCTATAAGGCCAGGTGACTCTGCCAGGTCACACATGGGCTCCAGACCCACTGATACCTGCTCTAAAGACAGAGACAGAATGGAAGTAACATGAGCTTTGGCAACAGACAGGCCAAATTGTCACCACATCCCTTCTGTCTATCAGTTCTATGACCTCAGGTCTACACTCATCTTTTAGAAAACTGAATAATAACGCCTATCATGTAAGCTGCCCTTGCTCTCCCCATCCCCAGTTTGTTTTGTTTTGTTTGGCTAACATTTATTGAAGGCTTACTAGGTACTAAGCAAATGCTAATACAGGCATTAATATCTCTGTTAGTCTTCACTGCAGCCTTTGACAAATCCAGAATGATTTCTTATTATGCCATTTTGGAGATGAAGGAACTGAGGTCCAGAGAAGTCAGACAACTTCTCCATTGTCACACAGCTAGCAAGTGGCAAAGCCACTATGTCCAAGTCATCATTTAAAGTGTCATACTATACTCTATCCACATAGCAAGACTGACATTTCATAAGTAGATAAAGAGCTTGACACAGAGTTGGGCCCTAAGAAAAGAGTTCTGAGAGCCAGGTGTATCAGTCTACTCTCATACTGTTATAAAGAAATAGCCGAGACTAGGTAATTTATAAAGGAAAGAGGTTTAATTGACTCTCAGTTCTGCATGGCCCGGGAGACCTCAGGAAACTTACAATCATGGCAGAAGGTGAAGGGAAAGCAAGGACCTTCTTCACATGCTGGCAGGAGACAGTGTGAGCAAAGCAGAAAGAGCCTCTTATAAAACTATCAGATCTCAGGAGAACTCACCATCACAAGAACAGCATGGGTGAAACCACGCCCATGATCCAATCACCTGTCACCAGGTCTCTCCCTAGACACAGGGGAATTATGGAGATTACAATTCAGGATGAGATTTGGGTGGAGGCACAGCCAAACCATATCACCAGGACACCAAAATCATGCCCCCTGAGTGGTGTCCCCATTTAGAGGCCACAGAGAGTACACCTGGCATGTGAAGGCGGCATGCTTTGGATGGTCTGTTCCCTCCAAATCTCATGTTGAAATGTGACCTCCATTCTGCAATTACACAAGCAGTAGGAATAAAACAAAACAAAAGAAACAAAAAACAAATGTGACCTTCAGTGTTGGAGCTGGGGCCTAGCAGGGGGTATTGGAACATGGAGATGAATCCCTCATGAACGGCTTGGTGCCATCCTCTTGGTAATGAGTAAATTCCCTCTCACTTAGTTCATGTGAGATCTGGTTGTTTAACAGAGACTGACGCCTCCCTCTTTTCTCTCCCACTCTCACCACGTGACACACCTGCTTCCCATTTGCCTTCCTCCATGATTGTAAGCTCCCTGAGGCCCTCACCAGGAGCAGATGCCAGTGCCGTGCTTCCTGTACAGCCTGCAGAACTGTAAGCCAATTAAACCTTTTTATAATTACCCAGTCTCAAGGAATACTTACTCTTTGATCGCAATGCAAAAACAGGACTCATACCAAAAATTGGTACCATGGAGAGGGGCATTGCCATAAAGATACCTGAAGATGTAGAAGCGGATTTGGGACTGGGTCACAGTTAAAGGTTAGACGAGTTTGGAGAGTTCAGAAGAGGACAGGAAGATGAGGGAAAGTCTGAAACTTCTTAGAGACTGGCTAAAGGGTTGTGACCAAAATGCTGATAGAAACATGGACAGCGAGGTCCAGGCTGATGAGGTCTCAAATAAAAATGAGGAACTTACTGGAGACTGGAAGTCAACAAAGGTCACCCATGTTACACCTTAACAAAGAGCTTGGCTGCTTTGTGTTCAGGCCCTAGGGATCTGTGGAACTTTGAACTTAAGAGTGATGACTTTGGGTATCTGGCAGAAGAAATTTCTAAGCTGCAGAGCGTTCAAGATGTGGTATGGCTGCTTCTAACAACCTACAATTGAATTCAGAGACAAAGAAATGACTTAAGGTTGGAACCTGTATTTAAAAGGGAAGCAGAGCATAGAAATTTGGAAATTTGCAGCCTAGCCATGTGGTAAAGAAAGAAAAAGCATTTCCAGGAGAGGAATACAAGCAGACTGCAAAGCAACCACTTGCTAGAGAGATGGCAAGTCTAAAAAGGAGACAAGTGCTAATAACCAAGACAAGGGGTGGGGAAGGGCCTTGAAGTCATTTTAGAAATCTTCTAGGTAACCCTCCCATCACAGGCCCAGAAGCCTAGAAGGAAAGAACCTGTTTCAGGGGCCATTCCCAGGGCACCTGCTGCCCTGCACAGCCTCGGGACACTGTTCCCTGTATTTGGGCCCAGTCTGCCTATAGCCTTGGCTTAAAAGAGCCCAAGTACAGCTCAATCTGCCACTCAGAGGGTTCTAGCTGTAAGCCTTAGTGGCTTCCACATAATGTTAAGCCTGTAGCTATGCAGAATGCAAGAATGAAGGAGGCTTGGTAGCTTCTACCTACATTTCAGAGAATGTATGGAAAAGCTTGGGAGCCCAGGCAGAAGCCTCCTGCAGGAGTGGAGCCCCCAACAGAGATGTTTTACTAGGGCAGTGCAAAAGGGAAATATAGGGTTGGAGGCTCCACACAGTGTCCCCACTAGAGCACTACCTAGTGGAGCTGTGAGAAGGGAGCCACCACTCTTCAGACCCCACAATGGTAGAGCCAACAGCAGCTTGAATCCTGAGCCTAGAAAAGCCTCAGGCACTCAATTCCAATCCTTGAGAGTGGCCATGAGGGCTGTACCCTGCAAAGCCACAGGGGCAGAGCTGTCAAAGGCCTTAGAGTCCCACCCTTCCATAAGTGTGCTCTGGATGTGGAACATGGTATCAAAGGAGACCATTCTGGAGCTTTAAGATTTAATAACTGACCTCGTAAGTTTCAGACTTGTGTGGGGCCTACTGCCCCTTTCTTTTGGCTGATTTCTCCCTTTTGGAATGGGAATATTTACCCAATGCTGGTACCACCATTGTATCTTGAAAGTAAATAACTTGTTTTGATTTTATAGGCTGATAGGTATGACTGAGTCTCAGATGAAACTTAAGACTTTGGACTTGATGCTGGAACAAATTAAGACTTTGGAAGACTTGCGTAGGGATGATCATATCTTGCAATGTGAGACGAACATGAGATTTAGAGGGCCAGGGACAGAATTATATGGTTTGGATGTTTGTCACCTCCAAATCTCATGTTGAAATGAGACCTCCATTGTTGGAGATGGTGCCTGGTGGGAAGCAACTGGATTATGAGGGTGAATTCTTTACAAAATTTCCTTGGTAATGAGTGAGCTGTCTCTCAGCTCATATGAAATCTGATTGTTCATTGTTCTCTCTCTCACTCTTGCTTTTGCTGTGTAACACACCTGCTTCCCACTTGCTCTCCTCCGTGATTGTAAGCTTCCTAAGGCCCTCACCAGGAGCAGATGCCAGCGCCATGCTTCCTGTGTAGCCTACAGAACAAGGAGCCAATTAAAACCTTTTCTTTGTAAATCACCCAGCCCCAGGCATTTATTTTTAGCGATGAAAGAACAGACTATATGGTAGGGAAGGATAATGCCTTTGGCAGACACATCTCTTGAGCTCTGTGTGCCTGGGGCTGTGTTAAGCAATTTACTTGCACATGCCAGAAACTGTCCTATCCAAATATTCCACGTGCCCACCTCTTCAGGAGACTCTGGAAGGGAGGCAAAAGCCTACAGACAAAAACCATACCTTTACCAGGAGATACCTTTTGCTTTAGAGGGAATGGGGCAGACAATTTACAACTGGCCTAAAGTGAATAACAGAAGCTCTGAAGATAGGACCAGAGGATGAGGCCAAGGCAGGGCTGTACATCAGCCAGTGGACTTACTATGGTAAAGCCACCCAGTGAGAAGGCTAAACTCACCCTCCCCAAGTCCAGCCACTTCTCACCCTGTGTTCCAGTTATTATTGCTGCATAACAATTTACCCCAGAATTTAGCATCTTAAGATAACCATTTTTATTATGCACTTTGATTCTGTGGGTCAGTAACTTGGGCAGGACATGGGGTGAACAGGGTGACCAGAGGGATGACTTGTCTCTGTATCATAATCTGGGACCTTGAAGGCAGGGGATGATTTCATGGCTAGGGCTGTAGTTATCTTGGGCCCATTTGCTCACATGATGGGAGACTCAAAAGCTGGGATTAACAACAGAGCACCTACATGTGGCCTCTCCCTGTAGCCTGGCTTCCTCGGTGCATGGTGGCCTTGGGGTACTGAGACTTCCTACATAGTGGCCCAGTGCTCCAAGCACTAGTATTCCAGCTATTAAGGAAGAGGAATGTCAAGAAATTCGGAGGCCACGTTTTAAAGCCTTCACACCCTAGCTTCCAGGAAGGAGCCAAGCTCAGGGGCATATGCAAAAGAGACTGCAGAGGATCTTCCCCATCCAGGCACCTATTTCCTGCAAAATCCAATGGCAGAATCTCCCAGGCATAACGATAAGCAAAAGAAGACAGGTGCAAAAGAATGCATACTGTGTGGCTCCATTTATGCAGCATTTAAGGAAAGACAGAACTCATCTAAGTTCAGAATAGCAGTTACCTGCAGGTGGGGTACAAAGGGGCACAAGGGAGGGAGCTTTCTAGGCTTCTGGCATGTTCATTATATTAATACACAAATGTATTCATATGTTAAAAAAATTAATCAACTTCTACACTTAAAAGTTACGCACTGACCACACTATGCATTTTCTACTTCAATAAATATTTTGTAAAGGAATTATCCTCAGGAAGAGAGGACAGGGGGGACAAAAGAAATTTATCCTATCCAGTCAGAGCACCTCACTCTTCATCCCTTCTCCTAGCCAGAGTTACATGCCCCAGGAAAGCAGATTCCCAGGACTTCCAGCTCTGGCTAGTCAATAGAGCGTGGCTACAGCTCTCTGGGGCAGGAGTTTCCAGCCCCTCCCTCCTCTGCCCATCTGCCCCAGATTCCTTCTCTGTTTTAGAATCCACAAGTGCTGGAAGGGCCAGGCCCATTGAGGTTTCAGTTCATACCCACCCTCATTTTATGGAGGAGGAAAGCAGGAAGGGGAGTGACCTGAATGTGCAGCCAGGGAGGCAGGTGGGGCCCAGACTCCGATGGCCAAGGCAGAACTGCAGTCTTCCGGGTCTTTCTCCTCCTCTCAGCGAAGTGGAACCCTCCATTGCCCATAAGACTGCTTAGCGTGGGCTCTGTGCATCCATGTCTATCCAAATGGGAGTTTCTGGAAGGCAGGAAAGTTTCTCACTTGATAAGCTTCCGGGACCCACCCAGCTGGGCGGGGATTTTCCACAGGGCCCAGGCAGAGGGACAATGCTAGCCACTCCTTGGGACGTGGCTCTGATCTCAGACTCTGGGGGCTGTGGGCCTGAGAGATTTCACCCCTCCCAGAATTACCAGAAACTGGGGATGGGAAGCTGAGATGTTTTCGCTTTCCAAGGAGCCTCCCAAGGCTCAAACCTTATGAAGCCCTAACAATCAAGGCCTTTCCTGATCTGGCTTTGCCCCATCCCCCTCCCAACTCCTGTCTTTCACAGTCAGCTTCTATTATGGGCTGAATGGTGTTCTCCCAAAATTCATATGTTGAAGTCCTAACCCCCAGTGCCACAGAATGTGACTATATTTGGAAATAGGGTCATTAAAGAGATTAAGTTAAAATGAAGCCCTCAGGAAGGGCTCTAATCCAGTCTGACTGGTATCCTTCTAAGAAGAGGAAATTGGCCAGGCACCGTGGCTCACGCCTGTAATCCCAGCACTTTGGGAGGTCAAGGTGGTAGATCACCTGAGGTCAGGAGTTCAAGACCAGCCTGGCCATCATGGTGAAACCCCATCTTAAAAAAGAAGAAGAAGAAAAAGAAATTTGGACACACAGACACACCACAGATGTGCAAAGGAAAGACCATGGGAGGGCAGGTCAAGAAGGCAGCCATCTGAAAGCCAAGGAGAAAGACCTCAGAGGAAACCAGACCTGCCGACACCTTACCCTTGGATGTCCGGCCTCCAGAACCACAAGAAAATAAATTTCTCTTGTTTATGTCTGCGGCATTTTGTTACAGCAGCCCTAGCAAACTATACAACTCCCATTTCCTAAGTGTCACACATGTTGACACCTGCCTGGGATGCCATTCTCTCCCTCCTCCCCTGACCCTCTGAAAAACACCACTTTCCAGGCCTCCCGTGCCCATTGCTCCATGACATGTCTCTTGAAGCCCAGAGTCAGTGAATCGTGCTATACAGTCTTGAATTGCGCACGTGTAACCATTATCATCTCTGTGACGTCTTATTTTCATTTGTCTTCTTGCCAGACTTTGTCCCTGGAGATAGTGGCTATTCCTGATCTATCTCCACCTTCCCAGTGTGAATAACAAATGGTTTGATAAAATGTCTGCTGGATTGAATCGAACCGGAGAATTTGCTGAGTGACTCAGCATCCCCTAGCACCGTCCCTGGCTCTCAGACCCCACACTTCCCTTCCCTGCATCCACCTTGCACCCTGCACAAATGCCAAGAAAAGCTTTAAGGTCAAAAGAATTAGCACTATCTTAGAAACTGTATACAGGTGGGCCAGATGGTTCTCACTTACAATGGTTCAGCATACAGTTTTCTGACTTTAAGATGGTGTGAAAGTAATACACATTCATTAGAAACCATTCATCAGGCCGGGCGCGGTGGCTCACGCCTGTAATATCAGCACTTAGGAGGCCGAGGCGGGCGGATCACGAGGTCAAGAGATCGAGACCATCCTGACCATGGTGAAACCCCATCTGTACTAAAAATACAAAAATTAGCCGGGCGTGGTAGCACGCGCCTGTGGTCCCAGCTACTCGGGAGGCTGAGGGGGAAGATCGCTTGAACCCAGGCGGAGGTTGCAGTGAGCCGAGATTGCACCACTGCACTCCAGCCTGGCAACAGAGTAAGACTCCATCTCAAAAAAAAAAAAAAGAAACCAGTCATCAAATTTTGAATTCTGATCTTTGCCCAGGCTAGCAATGAGTGGAAATATGCTCTCCTGTGATGCTGGCAGCAGGAAGGAGCCGCAGCTCCCACTCAGCCACACTATCACGAGAGTAGCCAACCAGTGCTCTACAGTATAGTACCTTGCCAGATGATTTTGCCCACCTGCAGGCTAATGCTAGTGTCTGAGCACATTCAAGGTAGGCTGAGCTAAGTTGTGATGTCCAGTAGGTTCGTTGTATTAAACGCATTTTTAACTTACGATATTTTCAACTTACAATGGGGTCATTGGGCACTAAGCCCCCATCATCTGTCAGGGATGTAGCACATCATCTGTGCTACAAAACAAAAGACTGAGGGAGGGCAATGTTTAACCTGGAGATATGGGTTGCTCATGATAACAATGTAGGATGCCAGGGGCTGAACACAGCAAACTGAAGGGAGGGGAGATCCCTTCTCACCTACCCAGCACCTCAAAGCTTGAATCAATAGCTCCTTCCTTCCTAGGCCCTGAGCTGTCTGTGAATCAGAGGCTGTGTGTGGTGTGTGTGTGTGTGTGTGTGTGTGTGTGTGCTGGAGAGGGTCCGGGGAAGGGATATATGTGTGCATCCTGAGGTAGATAAACCCTTAAACTCACTTGTGTGGGGAAGCAGGGCTGGAGGCTTCTAGAACCCTAGGGAGGGCACAGCCTCTGACTTTCAGACAGACCTGGTTAGAAGCCTCACTCCTTTGCTGCCGGCTGATGAAGGAGCCAGATGAAAGGGCCTGGCATAGCTTCTGGCCTTTGGAGGATGCCCTTTGATCCGTAGGATGCTACTCTGCTCCTGATGTCCTTCTTGCCCTAGTGCTGACTCCAATGCACAGAAGGCATCCTGGTCGGGAACAGGCTATCTGGAGTTAACAAGAGAAAGGCAGCTGTTTCCCGAAAACAAAGGGCTGGGTCAATAAATCTGCCGAGGCAGCCATTGATCAGTGAGGGCAAAGGCTCCTGCCGGGAGCAGCCAGCCAGTTTCTCTGAAACGTCTAGAACAGAGCCATACAGGAAAGCAAGGCTGAGGCTTGAAAGGCCCTTAGGTAGGCCTGTCCTAGGGTCAATATCCTCAGAGCACAGGGTCCCTCTCCCTCCCCGCAGGACCCTCCAGGATCAGAGTCAGAGTCTCACAGAATCACAGAGCTAGAAAGGATCCAAGCATTCTCCAATTCAGTTTTTTATCTGGAGTCCATGTTAAGATTTCAGCCACCTATGAACCTGGATAGGTCGGGGGAGAAGGTTCACTAATCTATAACTGAAATTTAGCATTTCTTTCTATCATGAACCTAAGCAACAAGCTACAGTACAATTAGGAGAACTTAAGACTTTGTCACCAAGAGTCGTGACAGGTATTTTTACAGCTCAGTATAGGCATTCCAGAATTCTCAAAACATTGTTTATTATTACTACCTCAAAGCTGTAGTAATGATTGGGCCCACCACCAGATCTTGTTTAATGCTGTTAATAAATAAGCATTTTTATTGCTATATCATAATTTTTTTTTTTTGAGACGGAGTTTCGCTCTTGTTACCCAGGCTGGAGTGCAATGGCGCGATCTCGGCTCACTGCAACCTCCGCCTCCTGGGTTCAGGCAATTCTCCTGCCTCAGCCTCCTGAGTAGCTGGGATTACAGACACACGACACCATGCCCAGCTAATTTTTTGTATTTTTTTAGTAGAGACGGGGTTTCACCATGTTGAGCAGGATGGTCTCAATCTCTTGACCTCATGATCCACCCGCCTCAGCCTCCCAACGTGCTGGGATTACAGGCGTGAGCCACCGCGCCCGACCACAATTTTTTTTTTTACCTTGACAGTTGTACTTTGTTATCATTAGTTAATTTGTTATCATTAGTTAACTTCGTTGTTCTATGTATTTTATATCGCCAGCCTTCAAAAGTGTCCATGACACAGAAACTAATAAGAATTCCTACTGGGCTTTAACCCTTGCTGTAGATGGAGAAGGCAAGGTCCAAGACAGACAGTGCTGCTTCTGGATGGATGGATGGATGGATGGTACACAGATGGTGAATGGATTCATGGATAGAAATGTAAATGATAAATAGCACAGTCATAGCAATAATAAGCCTCACGGACTGCTTACCCTGAGCCAGGCATTATTTTAAACAATTTAATTCTCACGACAGCCCTATGACAAAGATAATATTATTGTCTCCACTGAACAGATAAGAAAACTGAGATATAAAGTCGAGAAATGACTTAGACAAAGCTACAGAGCCAGGATGAGGAAGAGCTACATATGATTCGAACCCCCAAGCCTGCACTCTGAACCTCTCTTCTCTATGACTGCTCTGAAGCAGTCTGGTGAAGTTTGCTTTAATGCTGAGCTCTGGGATCATAAACCAAGGACTGAATTCCAGTTGTAGCCACTTGCAAGATGGTGACTCTGGGGAACTGATTTCACTTCTGCAAATCAGAGTTTTCATCCATAACAGGAAGACAGTAGTGTCACCTCCATCACAGGGTCAGCTGTAGATGAATAAGTAAGGGAAAGCACATGGCACAGTGCCCAGTACATAGTATTGCTAGATAATTTGGGGTTTTTTTAATTTTTTTTAATTTATTTTTGAGACAGAGTCTTGCTCTGACACCCAGGCTGAAGTGCACTGGCACAATCTTGGCTCACTGCAACCTCTGCCTCCTGAGTGCAAGTGATTCTCCTGCCTCAGCCTCCCAAGTAACTGGGATTACAGGCATGCACCACCACGCCCAGCTAATTTTTTTGTATTTTTTAGTAGAGATGGAGTTTCATTATATTGGCCAGGCTGGTCTCGAACTCCTGAACTTGTGATCCGCCTGCCTCAGCCTCCCAAAGTGCTGGGATTACAGGTATAAGCCACCTTGCCTGGCTGATAATTTTGTTTTTCACAAATGACAAGACCAAGCCATAGACCCATTTAGAATGGTGATATGTGTCTCTGTGCTAAAATTGCCAGAAATAAGAAAAGACAAGTAACAAGGCTGGAACCCAGATCCCAGCTCCTGGCAAAATTGAAGGGTGTCAACAATTAAGTTGAGGCCAGGCGCCATGGCTCACGCCGGTAATTCCAGCACTTTGGGAGGCCGAGGCAGGCGGATCACTTGAGGTCAGGAGTTGGAGACAGGCCTGGCCAACATAGCGAAACCCTGTCTCTACTAAAAATATAAAAATTGACTGGGTGTGGTGGTGGGCACCTGTAATTCCAGCTATCAGGGAGGCTGAGGCGTGAGAATTGCTTGAATCCGGGAGGCGGAGGTTGCAGTGAGCCAAGATTGCGCCACTATACTCTAGCCTGATGGGGCAAGACTCCGTCTCAAAACAGAACAAAAAACAGAATTAACAAGTTAACTTTCAAACTGCAAGAGCCAAAAAACGAGGGAAAAAAGGAATGAACAAGTACCCAGGGCAATTTTGCTTTCAGGATGGTGTAGATAAAGGGACAGATTGAGACTGAAGGAAATACATGAAAATTCTAGTAATCAGTAATTCCTTCTGAAGAGTATGGTACGGAACGGGAGGTAAAGAATAACTTTGCAGTGGAGAAATTCAACAAGCACTACCCCAGCCAGCTGGCCAAAGTTAAAGTCACCAGTGATAAATCACGTGATAGCATGCAGCTTTGATATGACAGACGTATCATAGATAGATGGCGCTTTACCTCTACCTCCCAAAAACTCACATACCCAGTACAACCATAAGAAAAGTATCAGACAGACTCAAATGGAAGGACATTCTACAAAATACCGACCAAAACGTTTCAAAAACCATCAAGGTCTTCAAAAACCAAGCCTGAGAAACTGTCCCAATCAAGAGGAACCTAAAGAGACATGATGCCTAAATGTATTGTAGTATCCTGAATAGGATTCTGGAACAGAAATAGCACATGAGGAAGAAGGTAAGGAAATGTGAATAACGTATGGACTGTGGTTAACAATTCTGTATGGCTATGCTTCATTTATTCTGACAAATGCACCATACTAATGTAAGCTATTAACACTGGGGGAAGAAATGCAGCGGGGAGGGGCGGGGGTGAAGTACAGAAGTCTGTACCATCATTTCAGCTTTTCTGAAAATCTAAGTCTATTCTAAAAAAAGAGTATTCTCTTTCAAAATGCTAGTAGTACATTGGTGGTGAGATTACAGGCAATTTCTTTTGTTTGTATATTTTTTAATTTTCTTCTTTTTGAGACAGGGTCTCTCTGTGCTGCCAAGGCTGGAGTGCAGGGGTTATTCACAGGCTTGATCATAGCAAACTACAGCCTCCAACTCCTGGGCTCAAGCAAGTAGACTGAGTCTGTAGCTGGGTCTGTATTTTTCAAATGGTCTCTGATGAATACACACTGCTTTTGACATCAGCAAAACAAAATTCAATAAACATTACTTTTAAAAAATGAATGGATATTGGGCTCTTCGATGACAGTACTATATATATAAAACTATAACTAGAGCTGTCCTTGAGCAGCGATTAAAACCCACTTTATTGGCTGGGCATGGTGATTCACGCCTGTAATCCCAGCACTTTGGGAGGTCGAGGTGGGTAGATCACTTGAGGTCAGGAGTTCAAGACCAGCCTGGCCAATATGGTGAAATCCCATCTCTACTAAAAATAAAAAATTAGCCAGGCATGGTGGCAGTCACCTGTAATTCCACCTACTCTGGAGGCTGAGGCAGAAGAATCGCTAGAAACCAGGAGGCAGAGGTTGCAGTGAGCAGATATAGTGCATTGCACTCCAGCCTAGGCAAAAGGAACAAAACTCTGTCTCAAAAACAAACAAACAAAAAACCCAGTTTATCACTCTGGGGCCAGGTGACTCTGGCCACCAGGGCCCAGCACTTCCCCCCGCCCGGAGGGAGGGTGGTGTGCTTCAGAACCTGCCAGTACTTTTTCTATGATGCACTTGCTGGGAGGGGAGGGGGATGGGCAGCAGCTGCCGCAGAGGTCAAAGGGCTGTCCCAGGTGAGCTTACACTGCTGGCTCAAGAGGCCCCAGGCAAAACAGCCCCAGGAAAATCTCATCCATCAGCTTCCGGGCCAAGCCTCAGCCTTCTCCGGGTCATCAGCCTGGGAGGCAGGAGGACCGCAAATGGTCCTCAGTTCTCACCAGATGAACAAAAGACAAGACAAGACGCGCCAGGAATGTATGGTTTGTCCCAGGCACTTGGTCCTTCACCCAGACCCCAATCAGTCCCATCAAGCAGATTCTTTATTTTTTGTACCTCTTTTAAAGCTCAGGCTCAGAGAGGGTCCGCAGCTTACAAGAGTCAGAAGCAGGATATAAACTGATCTATTCAGGCTGGGCACGATGGCTCACACCTATAATCCCAGCACTTTGGGAGGCCGAGGTGGGTGGATCACAAGATCAAGTGATCGAGACCATCCTGGTCAATGAGGTGAAACCCCGTCTCTACTAAAAATACAAAAATTAGCTGGGCATGGTGGCACATGCCTGTAGTCCCAGCTACTTGGGAGGCTGAGGCAGGAGAATTGCTTGAACACAGAAGGCGGAGGTTTCGGTGAGCCAAGATCGTGCCATTGCACTCCAGTCTGGGTAACAAGAGTGAAACTTCGTCTCAAAAAATAAAATAAAATAAACTGATCTATTCACTCCAGAGCTGCCCATGAGAAGGACACCTGTCTCCATTTGTCTCGAGGATGTGCTGTGACCACAGCAGATGGCTGGACTACATTGAGGATGCTGGAGAAAGGAAGTGTCCAGCAGTAGGCAGCACCCTTCAGACCTCCCATGACACCAACCACTACCACCCCAATACTGAGGGCTCCATCGACAAAGGACAGCTTGTTCTGGGGCCCAAACACCAGTTTCAGCTCCTGGATCCTGGGACTGCTCCCTGGGCTCCACTCCTGTTCTGTTCCCAAGGGCATTCTCCATCATCCTGGTATCCAATTCCCTCCCCTTGCTGAGGGCCTCCTCCAAAGCAGGAGCCAGGAGAGAGATGGTTCTGAGATTTCTCACTGTAATTGCATTAGGACCAGACTCTTTCTCTCTCTGAGAGGTAGTAACAAGAACCCCTGGGAGGAACAACTCCACTTCCTGACACAAGTAGCCTTCTTTTTTTAATTTTTCTTTGAGGCGGAGTCTCGCTCTGTCACCCAACCTGGAGGATAACGGCATGCCTTGTCTCACTGCAACCTCTGCCTCAAGTGATTCTCTCACCTCAGCCTCTGGAAGCTGAGATTACAGGCGCACATCATCACGCCCAGCTAATTTTTGTATTTTTAGTAGAGATGGGGTTTCACCATCTTGGCCAGGCTGGTCTCGAACTCCTGACCTCAGGTGATCTGCCCACTTCGGCTCCCAAAGTGCTGGAATCATAGGCATGAGCCACCGAACCCAGCCAC